ACTTGATACCAACACTACCTCATCATCTAAACATGATATCAACACTACCACATCATTTAAATATGATATCAACACTATGTTATCATCTAAACACGATATCAAGACCACCTCATCATCTAAACATGATATCACCACTACCACATCATCAAAACATAATACCAACACTACCTCATTATCTAAACATGGTATCAACACTACCACATCATTTAAATATGATATCAACATTACCTCATCATCTAAACTTGATACCAACACTACCTCATCATCTAAACATGATATCAACACTACCACATCATTTAAATATGGTATCAACACTACCTCATCATCTAAACATGATATCAACACAACGTTATCATCTAAACTTGATACCAACACTACCTCATCATCTAAACATGATATCAACACTACCACATCATTTAAATATGATATCAACACTACCTCATCATCAAAACATGATACCAACACAATGTTATCATCTTAACATGATATCAACACTATGTTATCATCTTAACATTATATCAACACTACCCCATCATGATCATGATATAAACATCTAAACATTAAATTTTAAACATTTCAACCATTCAATTATCACGTGAACCAAGTTAGACTTATTTACCTTCTATTAAAAAGAATATGATATCCCATTATGAAATCAAAATTTATATAATCACTTTCAGGGGCAAATTATTACTAAATCATCGTTATGCTTGTAATATTTATTAATATATACCAAAATGATATGATTTGCACTTATAACACCATCTTTCTCAGTTTGAATGGCAATTTATTCCTTTATTGACATTTTTCTGTCATATGTACCCAAATCTGTCAAGTTAACCGCGATGAAGCAATAAAACGATTGCTTTAACAAGTATGATAGTAGGTTTGATGGCCTATAAATTTCTCTTAAATCCTAAATTCATTTCTTAAGCTAACAATTTGATGTTGGACCCCCGTCTCCATCTGATATAAGATATTCATTGATAAAAGAAGATAAGTTTTCATTACCCACGGTTTCTCAAACAATACATTGACATCGTCATATGTA